AGCAACTGGAGACACCACGAATCTCCAGAAACGCTTAGGCTGAGAGACAAGAAAGATTGTGTTGCGGACCTGTGCTCATTACCGTGGCTGGCACTCCTTGCAGAAAGCTCACCGTCAATTTGCTCGTTTGTCGCTTTCGATCAAAAGCCCAGCCAGCTTGGGGAGACTGAGATGATGAGACTGACCGGACCCGAGGTTCACCCGTTCACCCTCTATGGAACACCATGGAACACCCAAACCTTCCCGTTCAGCCATTTGTTCGGCATTTCAGCCAGCGACCGACCGGGTGTTCCGCCAGGTGGTCGATCAGTTGGTGAAGAGTGGAGACATGGAAGCGCTGGAGGGAGAGGTCCCGGAGGTGAACGGAATTCCCGGACTGAACGGAAACGGTGACGGAGCGGGTGGGATGTGACGAAAGCAAAACAACACCTGCTATGTTTGTTGAAGAGTAGGGGTGCAGATGATGGGTGAGGGTTCAACAGGTTTCGTGTGCGGAAGATGCGTGAACATGGGGTGCACTAAAGGGGTTCCCAAAGGCCATGCTCGAAATGTGGAGCTGCTGGGTGCCAGTACAGCATCCACTATGTTGCCAGCCGCTAGACGACGTTCTTGCTTGCAGTGCATGAACACCTTGGATATTCAACGATTGATGCTTCGTCATCCCCCAATCCTTGAAAGGTCCAAACATCAGGCAGGTGATTTCTTAATTGTAGCGCTGTAGCCCTGCATCGTGCAGAAACTAGGCGGGGCACCACCGATGTTTTCTTTCTTCCATTTGACTTAAACTTGACTTACTATTATTGGGGTTGGGAGGTCTGCTCTTGTCTGTGGGCCATGGGCATGCATATCCTATCTTGTTTGAGCCTCTGCTCTGGAGGTCTCCAGATGGTCCTTCCCACCCACTCCGGAGCGGGCGTCCGAAACTGAGGAGAGTATGTCGCAGCGTGGCCATGTACAGGCTGTTGTTAGACGGATTCCGAACGAACACTGAAAGAAAAGGTGCCTTTGCATGATTTTTATGCAGAACACCTAGAATACAGACTCCCACACGATGTCCAAATGCGTGCCTCGAATCCGATTCCTTTGTGGTTCTAAACGTCAGGCATGCAATGCTTGATGCAAACAGGCACATGTCAACCTATTTACAGTATAGTTGTTTCATGTTTTTTTCCACCGGTTGACCTAGAAACTCCAAACGAGTGCATAGGAAACAGAACTTCAATGAAAGATACTGGGTGGTTGCCCAATGAAACGCCTCCCGTGGTGGTCCTCCCACCTAAGTGGCGCCGAGGCCCGAAGGCAGCTTAGCAGCGTTGGTGGTACATGGCCTGGAACCTGACGCCAAAGAAGAGGACGCCATGGCCGACTGGGCCAACTGGGGCTGGTCCGCATTTGGCTCACCTGGTAGTCGGTGGACCGCATGGTGGGCGTGCTGTCCCAAGTTGGTTTCGAATCATCATGCTGTTGCAAAGTGTGGTTGCTACTAAGCAACTCTGACTTGAGGAAGGGACTGTTTAGGGCAGACAACTTGCAGAAACACCTGGAAGGTAGATTGAACATGATTGAACTAGCAATGGCTGGACGACGTGCCACTTTGAATCTGTTGATTATCCTTTTGGGGGGGGACTTTGATGGCCTCCCTGCAACGTTGGTCACATTATCAAGGACGCTAACTAGGGGCTCCTGGCCGTACTACTAGGAACAAGAAGCTACCAGGGGCTCCTGGCATCGCTACTAGGAGCAAGGCGCTACTAGGTAAACATGTGGCCAGGAAGCGGGTGGCCACAAGCACATGGACGCAGCTGCTGCGGCCAGCACCGCGCGGGTGGCACCTTCGAGGTAATTGATGGAGCGGGATGGTCCAAGCGACGATTGAGGTCGGGAGGTGTGGGAAATCAATGAGTTGATTTATGTTGATTTGCTATTTTTGTTTATGATTTTCTTGTTTTTTTGCTGCAAGAGTTCCGTGTTTCATGGTGGCTTTCGTTCGCGAAAGCGGGAAGAGGCATGAAGAGTCATCGTAGGCTGCCCCCAGGGTAACCGTAGGCTGCCTGTGTGATTGTAGAGGGAGTTCTAGGACCTCCTAGCTTGGCCTTTCGCCCAAGCTTCACAGAGTATTTGTTCAGCGTTCCACACTCCGGGTCTGAACCCTGCCGAGCCACATGTTTTCTTCGCGGTGAAGATCTTGAAGCCAGACGTGCGAAGCGGTAAACTTCTGGCACTGACCCAGGTCATCAACAAGGAGGAACGTCTCTCCAAGTTGGTCCCCTGCGTGCGCCAACACATGGCTGCCATCGCCGCGTTTGGAGCTGAGGCATATGGATCGGTCGTATGGTGGGGTGTAGGGATGGAGATGCAGGCCTGTTTGTGAATAATTAACATTGAATAAATGAAGCAAGAACCACCCAAAGCACCACCAATTGGTCACTGGAGTTTTAGGAATTAGCATGAATTAACTGACGAATACCAAAGCTATCAACTGATATCACTGGCTGGTTGGCTAGGGCTCCTTATTGATTGCGAGATTCTCTATTATATAGTATCACACAGTCATACAGTCAACCTTTCTCACACCATGACCTGCAGTTCCTTCCGTAGCTTTGAGGTCCATTGTTGTGGAGGGTCAAAAGAACAAGCACTTCAATGGCAAGCAGCTTGTATGAAATGGATGCGCATCGCAATGGCCAGATACCTGCCCTCACTTGAGCCCCAATGAAATTCTGAAAAGGCCCTTTTTGAGCTGAAAAGGTGCTTTCAGGTCTTTTGTCAGGTCTTTTTCAGTTAAGCCGAAGGATAGTTGACGACACTTGGCCACAGCCCCTCTTGGTTGACTTGTGAGTGAGTGCTGCGAGTTGTTATCCATTATTATGCCCTACAGAAGGCTTGTGATATGGCAACGAACAATGCTGATGCTTGGAGGACATACTCCTTTGAATAACATGAATATGGCATAATAATAGGTGGTCAAGACATCCACGCTGTTGAAGGAAGAGATTCCAACTGCCGATTTCAGAGGTTAATGGTCACGCAGGGTGTTTACGTAGGAACCCACCCTGCCAGTCAGGAAGCAAATGTCGACCATGACAGAGGATTTCACCACAGCATTGACACTGTCAAAGGAGGCTGGAAGTTTATGAGAGCAAACAAAGGCACCACCAAATGCTATAGTAGAAGGGAATGCTGTAGATGAAAGGGTGGTTGCAGGATTCTGTGGTTCAAGACACAACCATGTCCGCAATAAAACTAGGGCTATATAGTCAAATTCACATACATGCGACAAGGGGCAAGAAGGCATGACCAGTTTACTTTGTACGTTCGTACAATCATGTTGAGCATGTTGACGGGCAATCTGCTGGTCCACCAACCAGGTGGGTGAGGCTCCTTCCCTGGATGAGCTGCCATCCATCGCGGAAGCCGTTGTGAGAGCTGTCATGGGGGAGACCGGGAATGGGGCATGGGCGGTAAAGGTGTCCAAGCAGATAAGTTGCGTGTCGTTGCAGGAATGGTCAAGTGTGTATACTACCTGTCGAGAACCACTCCTTCAATCAAGTACTTGGCTGTTTAGTCGCGCGCTTGACCTGCTTGGTAAGTTTCATGTAAGCTTTGTCGTGTTTTCACCATTTCCAGAACTCATTGTGGTCAGAAAGATGCTCTCAATGCTCTTGCTTTTTGCAGGATGCATTTGATGCACATGCTGATGGTGCAGACCAAGACGATGAAATTCTGTTGACACCTCAAAGTCATTGAAATTCAATTCTGCTGGCTAAACTGTGTTAGCTGGGGGATCTCCAGGATTCTTGATTCTTGAATGACTTTGCTGAACTGGGACAGAAGCTATGTTTTAAAGTACAAGCTTTTTTTATGCGGGATGTGCAGTTCCACCACCCTTTAGAGTCGAATAGTATCCATGTGCAGCAGAAGCTGGACGGATGGGAACCCATCGGTCCTTCAGTCGAGGCTCAGAGTGGAGAACCTGTTGCTGATGTACGGTGCTGGGCATTTGCTGCTTAAGGAGCCCACGGTCCGTGATGGGATGTGTAGGACAGCAGTCCTTCAAGGTGGCTGAGGTCAAAGTCTAGGCGCCACTGAAAAAGATTGAGGTGATAGGATTGATATGGATTAATAGGTTATGGATGGCTATGGCTCCCTGATGTTTCGTGAGATGATGTGGTTGCTTGGGCTTCGATGTATGTCTTGGCCAACCAAGAAGGAGTGACGGGAGAAATGCAGACAGGGTTAGGCACCTCGGTCCCCTGGACCCGCAGGACACCACCCTGGAGATGAAGAAGAACTGCCGCTATGGCGTGGTAGGCTGGTGGATCCAACGCGTGACAACCGGTGGTGGGATGGGGAAATCTCATGGCTGACTGATGCTGTTTGGAGCACCTTGCACTCCAAGGTTTTGTTCATGATCAAGAACCGAATAGGTGGTTCATGGTGGTTCTCATGTTACTTCGGACCACTTTTACACCTGCGGGAATATCATGTTCGACATCATGTTCGATGTACATGTAACGGTTCATTGATCAACTTGTTGACAGATATTGATATTGACTCTCTACAGATGTGCAACCAAGCTGAGTGACATCAGCACAACTAGCTGCCTCCACACCACGGTGGCTTACCAGCAAAATCTGAAAGAACACACACTGCAATACTGCAATGATGTGGAAGACGATCAATCTTCCCAAACCCAACCTGAAAGCACAATTGCTCCAACCCCTCTCAGGCTCATGTGCATACAGTATTGCCACTTGATAACTTGATGGCCAATCCCCGTCTCAGGCCACAACGGTGCTGGAAAGACTACCTTGATGAAAGAAATCGCTGCACACCGGATTGTCGGCATGCCGCCGGACCGACGGAGACTGGGAGACGACAGGGGAGCTGAGAGGGCTGCTGATGGCTGCTTACAAATATATCACGAGAAGAGCAATTGTTGACGATGTGTTTCCTCTGCAACTGTCAGGTTGTGGAGTACTGTCATTGCAAGTAGCTTGCCCCTGAAATACTACTTGGGGTTGTGGAAACTCTTCGGCAACTTAAATTCTGTTCGCCTGAGATTTGCCGTCCAGCCAGCTTTGACTTCAATGCGAGAGAGGGCGCAAAGAGTTTGTCCAGCACGAGTCAAACAACACCCTGGGGGCCCCCAAGAATTCCAGGTTTGTGCAGGACGGAGCAGGCATAATTCCAAGAGTCTAGCTTGAGGCGTTGCTTGTTCTTTGGGGCCAATGCCATCCAATGCCAATTTAACTAAGCTAGCTAAATCCTTTAGCGACGATCTATTTGCAAGACACCCAGCAAAACGCAAAAAGTCAAAAAGTTAGAAACGTCAAAAAGTCAAAAAGGTAAAGGACACGAAAGCACGCAGCGAGACTTTTCAACTTTCGAGACTTTTTGATTTTTCGACTTTTCTCACTTTTCGAGACTTTTCGCGGCGGGTCGACTACTTTTCGACTTTTCGCGAAAGTTCGGAGAGCAAGTAGATCCAGCTCACATTTAGCAACCACAGCAATTTAATGTGTACAATCCACCTGTCATGATGGCTGGTAAGCAAAACTGCAAGAAATAACGGTTATTCTGGTATGTTCTGGTTAAAAGGGCGAAAGCAGGCCATTTTGTTGGAGCCCATTTCAATGATGTGCCCCAATTTGATGTCTTCCATAGGACTTGAAGTGTGTCCACGTCGATGACTCCAAGCTGGGGGAGATGAGCGACAGCTACCTCAACGTTGCTCGCACCCAAAACTGACCAGGAAGCGGCCATCAGTGCCATCAGGAAGCGGCCTGATGAGTTGAAAGTGTATGGGATTCTATCGATTCTATGGGATACGGAGGCATGATCGTGTAGATAGATTGGAGCATGGATCAGCAAGCAGGCATGAAGATCTCGAGTCTTAACTGAAGTGTGCTGACTGCAAGTGTCTCAAACGGTCTCAACATGTCTCAGCTACAAAGCTGGGCGGCTAAGCCTCCCCTGCTTGGTTGCTTGCACTGGCCCGGTGCTGAGGCTTTGGAGTACTGCATCAAGATGGCCAAGGATGTTGTCGGGGGAGGGACGTGGGGTTCAATCTGTTGACGCTTGTTGTTTGGTTCCTGCTGTTGTGTGTGTGTGTGCTGTTCGTCTTGCCTGGAGCTTGTCCCCGCATTGCTCCGGTGCCGAGCTGGATTTGCGTCGCTCGGCAGGACATCGGGGTGAACGCCGCGGGGCGTGAGACCCTTTTAAAGGTGCGCGGGAGTCGATCGCTGTTCCCTTTCATTACATGACTGCAGCTCGTGCATAGACAAATATGTAATATACATACTATATTATTTGAAAACTATGATTAATGATAAATATGTACATTAGATTACATTAGTATGTACATTCTATTTTAATTGTAAAAACAGAAATCAAAAAGACTTCATTCAGTGGGGTTCGAGTGCCAGCCACGGCAAGTGGTTCGTGGGCTCGGCAGGTAGGCTTCGATGAAGCAAAGCTGAATGATCCCGTGGCAGAGCTCTCCACTGGCTGGAGGCGCAGAGTTCCACCGGAGGATTCTGGGAGTTTTGGGGTGTCAAACGTTTTTTGGAGTTGGCTTCAGCACAATGCGAGGCATGACATGCATTGCTTAGGAGTGTTTTTTTCACACTTCCAGCATCAAAAGTACATTTACCTGGTTTCCGTTCATCACTTCCTTGCTTTTCTAAGGACACACTTTCCATCATTCCATCATGGTTGCTGATCTTCTTCAGGATGCGACTCACGTTGGCCGTGTCGATGTTGAAGCATGCAGACTTGGTGCTTCTGGATGAGCCAACGTAGCTCGGCCAACAGATTTGCTTTTTCCAACGTAGATGTTTGAAGTCAAGACTAACATTGACATTTACAAAGTAACTCGCAGACATGGAAAGTACAGGCACAGAAAGATTGTGGAATGTTATGGAATTCTGGTCAGTGTCCAACAAAAAATAAACAAATGTTTGCGTTGTCGCTTAGAAACCATTTGGATGAAGAGTCGGTGCAGTGGCTCAGCGTCAAGCCCTCAGCACCCGGCATGGGATGGCGTGGGTGTGGGTCAAGACAAACATATTCTGAAGTGAACAGTCTAAAAGTCGATAGAATATGATAGAATGGTCCATGGTCGAATTCCTCGAATTGCGGTTGCTGACTGTTATTGATCTAATGACAGTACCACATGTTTAGGTCTTTTGGCAGGCATTGTGCATGGGTGTGAGATTGTGTCGCAAGATGTGGGGCCCTCAAAGCAATGTGCGTTCATGAGTTGCACACTTGCAGTCGTCGGCTCACACGTGTTTAATTGTTTTGGAGGGCTGATGCCTTCGGTTTGCTACCGCCCTTTTTAATGTCAGCAACTGGCTGGTTTTCTTTCGCAGGACAGGGCCTGTTCTCAAAAGTCAGTAGCATTCAGTATTCAGCGCAATCTATGAATCCATGCAATCCCCACAAAAATATTGTGTACCAAAAATCAGAACAAGCTACACGGTGTCCGTGTCATGGCAGTGTGGTTTGTCTACTCGTGAAGCAGTCAAGCGACCATTCCACGAAGTGGTCAAGGGTCGAACCGTTTTTTTTCTCTTGGGGAATTCGCGGCTGAAACATCCCAAAACACATGCATAATGGCGCAAGCGATTGAAAAAGCGAACATGTACTTCGATCAGACTACTCACTACTCCATAAATACTTCAATGGGAGCTGTGATCCCAACACTGAATCGGCGACAAGCCCATGAGCGACATTAGGACTACATTCTGTCCATCACGTCCTCCTCCGTGATGGTGGCCAGCTGAGACAGACTTGGCCCAGTATGGTCAGGGAGCTAGAACTATTTGGAGACACTACTGAGACACACTGAGAACTTCTTCAGACTATGTCTCATCCATCGAAGTTGCTCGCTTTTGCCGCCGTGAGGTCATCTCCCATGAGCCCAAGTTCTTGAACAAGATTTGTACTCATGCAGGGGGCCCACATGTGACCTAATGTCTGGAGACATGGCCCTTGACTGTGGGAACTTTTGAAGTGAAAGAAGTCTATATAGTAGTGTAATGTATGTGTGACATTTGTGACCAACTCGGCAACACGACCTTCTTGATTCTGGATTCTCGCATGTTGAGAGTCATGGTTCCATTTGATTCTATTCTTTGCAGCACCGAGGTTTCGTATGCTAGTCGCAAGTCACAGACTGATTATTGACCGTATTATTGTAAATTGATTCACAAATCGAGCTTGATTGATCACGACTTGGTGCCGACTTGAGGTGGTTGCATATGTCGACAAGAAGCTGGAATACACTGAAGGCTGCAGAAGCGGCTCTTGTTGCCTGGTTGTTTTGATATGATCGGGTGCCTGACAACCTCAGAGATATTCTACCAAGATCTACCAAGTATTTGAGAGTTTACACACCTTTTATGGTGTCCCTCAGCTTCTCGACACGTTTGTACGACATCAACAGAACTTGTATCCTGACCGCCGGACAAAGGAGAAATCTTGGATTCAATGAAGCCCCAGTCGCCCACTTGTAGAGCTGGCTTACACCAGGCAACTTCGACATTTTTGCACAAAAGAAGGGCCTTAGCAAGGCTGGGAGGCTCAGACTTCCTCAGAATGTTCATGGAAACTGAGGCAACAACGGACTGTAATGAAATTGCGATCCGTGTGCTGTTCATCTACACACTAGTTGACATTGGGCTGCTGGTAGTCATTCTTGATTTTGCTTCGACCCGTTCCTTGAATCATCCAAGCTAACCCAGCCGCTTTCGGGATCTGCTGCATCATTGGCCGAGGAGCAGATCGATGCGATGCTCTCGGGGAATCTGAGCTTCGACACCAAGAAGGAGGGTGATGAGGATGAGGATGCAGGTGGGCACAGCAATGGATTTCCAAACCCTTGGCACTTGTATGAGGGATTATGAGAGTAGACTAGTATACGCTTTAGATCGGTTCTTCCTTTGGATCTGAAGAGAGAAGGACACTTGGGTGTCCAAAGCTGTGCTAAACCGATCTCAAGAGTACGCGCTGGGGTTGAGCAGTGGTGCAAAAGCGTGCACTATTTGTCAGTGATTTTAATGTGCTGGTTGGCATTTGCCTCTCTTAGCGGTCCAAAATGTAAAAGAATGTCTCAAAACTGATCCCATTCGCTGATGTTTTGAGATTGCTGAGTGAAAGACATCAAAGGTAGATGCCCATAAACACTGGGATTGTTACAACAACACTGGGATTGTTACAACAATGCGGCTTGATGTCGTATATGCACACACCGCAAAATGTGCATCCGAAAATCGGGGTATTTCGCTGTGTTTTCCGAAAGTCGACCTCGGGACCTCGCCGACCTCGCCCCAGCCTGGTGCAGGTGATGCCCCCAAAGCCTGGTTCTTGGACCTGTCATGTGTCATGAAGTGGTGTGGCTCGGGGTGGATCTCACAGGATGACAGGGCCTTAGGATGAATGGGAAAAAAGGATCAGAAAGGGAACGTATGTACAGATCCTCTTTCAACACGTCTTGACAAGCGTTACTCCTCATCTTTAGGGGTCTTCTGTGCCAGACTAACAAATAGTGGAGGTGTTGCAATTCTTGCCAGGCTTTGACCCACTAAAAATGATGGTGAGTCAATCAGAGTCTATCTTGTCTCTTGTAATTTTTTGCTGTAGATGGGTCGAAGCCAGTCTTGTCCATGTGCTAAGTGGATTGGAACCTCCTTATCAGTTTGTGTTGCCTTGATTGACGTTGAGATACTCAGCCGGGGCCAAATGGAGTCTATATACAAGTCTTGGTGCTGCTCGCATGAACCTCAAGAGTGCTGTTCCCAAAAACCGATGAGTTCAAGTTCGGAGCCCCTTTAGTGAGACTTCAAGTTATAGTAATTAAGATATCGGCAGTTGCACGCAGTTTGCTTCGAGATCTTTGCAATGATGAGTTGATGTTTGTCCGTTTAGACCTCCAACCTCACTTTGGTTCACCTCCAAACACCTCCAAAAGACATGTCTCCAGGTGGCGGCGCCGGTGGCAGGCCCACCGAAGCTCACCTTCCCCATCCCAGGATCCATGGAGGGCGTGAAGCCGCTCGGAGCGCAATGAGGGCTATGGGAGGATCAACGCAAGCACGAGTCGTTGGCAAACCTGGCGTGACAGTCGTGTCGTGGTATTTCGTTTGCATGACAGACGGTTGAGGCATGTTGCATCCTTTTGCGTCCCTTCAGAATTCTGCTGCAAACTGAACTGGTTGAAGTGATAGCGATCAAATACCCGCCCTGCCCATTGAATCTTGCACAAGTTTGTTTAATTCCTGTCACCTGCCACCTGCTTAGATGATCTCAGATTCGTGTTTACAGAGTTCAACACCATTCAACACCTCATTCTCTACATACCTCATCATACCTCCAGCTTGCCCAACCGGGCCTGTCTCGGGGCGCTCCTGTCCGCCACTCAGGACAGGATCCAAGAGTGTTTTGGAGCTGAGGCTCCTTCCTCAGTTGCGCAAAAATGGCTTGACAGAAGTCGATTCGAATCATCCACCGTTCGGAACGCGCAGCAAAAAGACAAGAGTCATGGGCATTTGTCTCGTTTACAGGAGAGGGCATTGTAGGTGGTGCTGGGCTGTTCAGGGAGCTTGCATGCAGAGGGAGGTCATGACGCATGGGCACTGGCTCAAGATTCCACTATAGGCATTTTAGTGGCAAACGTTTGAGCAGTTGATGAAACAAATTAGCAACCTAGCGCTTTTCCCTTGAGATGCGACCATCGCACTGCTTTAAGAAAATCATCAGGCTTTTTGATCAAGACCATTTAATCCGGAGCAGCACCAAACTTGGAGTACGTGTATGCTTGTTCAATCAGACCCCTCGCAAAATCATGCAACATCTGGCAATGTATTTGCCCATATTTGCCCTCTAGCCAAGGTGCACAACATTTTGGGGTTATTTTGGGGTTATATAACAAGTTTGCCTTATTAGGCGGTCCAATTGTTTTCTATATTTCAGACAGGCGCTGTAGAAGTCCATGAAGAGTGCCCTGAAAGAAGGTGGTTAATTCAAGTTTCCGAAGTACTTGTCGAAGTCCGTTTGTGAAAGGAGTACAGTCTAATCTTTTTCAGAACTTACAGAGCTCCGCCACACGAGGCATGTCTCCTTCCGCTATTCGAAAGACAAGGCCGCAGCCATGTTGGGTGCCGGTGTTTCGCCGTGCGAGAGGTCGCGTCAAGATATGATTTTGTCGTCGGGTCGAGGGCACTAACCGCATGCGTAACTCAACTGATGGGTCGGGAGCTCAAAAGAAGGTGACCAGCAGATACCAGCAGAATGTCTCTGAGTATCTCTGATTTAGTCTCTGATTTGTAATGCCGTCGTGCTCATGACCAGAATAAAAGCAGCATGGCTGCAGTATATAGTTGAATCGACGTTCGAATCGTGGGAAGGTTGGTCGAGAATGTTCCGACATGGTGCCATTAGGATCATTAGGAGCTGTTCGTTGGTTATGATTGTTTCATATTGGTTCACGCATTTCACACGATCACTATACCCGCTCAATCAAAATACCAATTGCTTCAAACGATGCTAAGCTGGTTCCCTGTCACAAAAAGAGTCACAGGGAAGAACACTTATTATTCCAAATCAGGTTTTCTCGTTTATAAAATCAATTGTCCTGAATTCTAGGGGCTTTCCCGTCAACGTTTGGCAGGATTATTTGCTTCAAGACTGCTGCGGCAAGCTGAGCTTGAGCTCAAGGGTAGCCGTTTGCGGCAGGCGCCTTTGTTGGCTGCGTAAGTGGATGGGTCGACCCGAGACTAAACGAGTGGAGGGGATTGATCGCTTGCTGATTTCACTGAATAGTTGTCCCTTGGTCCCCGTGGAAAAACAGGTCAGATCAACATCGTTCTCCATCAATAGAACTTGCAAAGTACTTGGCTTGCCCCTTTGCCTGGAGAGTTTTCTTCTCAAGACGAGGAAGCCGAAGCATCGTCGGTGCATACGATCTTCATATTTCATTTGTCGAACGAAATGGCCGTCTGGCCGGCCCTCCCTGGCGGAAACGCGGTAAATCGCCATTGGTAGGAACGGCTGTGGTAAATCCACCCTGATGACCTTGCTTTGCAGCGAGTGGGGACCTCAGCCACAGCCAGGCAACAGCATGCGTGGCGGTTCCAAACATCGGAGCGATCCGGAGCGAGTAGGAGGTATGAATAGGTCGGATAGGCTGATAGGTATGGTGAGAGTGGGCTGCAGTTGCTAAAGGAGAACAAGGAATAATATGGAATATGGAATAATCATTTCTCTGATGTTCTTTGGCTGTGGTTTTGCAAATATTTGTACAGCCTCCCATAGCTGTCGTGTGAATTCCTGGACCAGCCAGTTGGAATAGTTATATACATAGATTTCAAGTTCTTATGCTGTTCCAAATTGAGAAACTACTTCAACTTTGTCATGAGTCGACTTTTGCAGCAAAGCTTCGCAGCAAAGCTTCCCAAATACCCCTTGTCACCCTCTTTTGAGGGTGGCCTCACATCCCTTGGTGTACACTTGATCGACGTGTTTAAATGAGAAACACTGGAGGCATTCGCCATCGGAGAACACAGATGGACATCATGGCGAGGCACGGGAATGGCAGAGAAGAGATGGACATCATGAATCTTGTTCCTAGTAACTCCTAGTAGTAAGGCCGGGAGCCCCTAGTAGCTTCTTGTTACTACTAGTATCTATTAGTAATTAAGGCACTTGTTACTAGAAGCGATGCACTTGTTCCTAGTAGCGTGGCACTTGTTCCTAGTTCAAAATAACCCTTGCTTCATTCGGTCAGAATCCGGTTGCCAGGTCTGGAGACATCACAACTTGCGGCTGGCATACATGAAGCAGGACCCCGCATTGCTCTACAGAAGCGACATTGTGGAAAACAATTGGAAGCATTTTAGCGCTTTGTACCATTATGGAACGGATTTCAAAAGTGTGCTGTACTTATACGATATTTTTTTTCAGCACTAGTTCGCTTTGCTCTCAAGAGTTTCCACGAGTGAAAGAAACCCAGCTTAGAACCAACCCCTTAGAAGCCATAGCCGCTAGCGATGTGGGATACGTTTCGACCCACCACCTGAAACCGTCGAAGATATCGAAGTGTCAAAAGATGGCATGAAGACCCTGCAAAAAAAACAGCGGTTGGAATCATCGGCAAGTCTGGCAGGGTGAGGCTGAAACTTTGGGTGGCTAGAAAGTTTGGTTTGAAAGTAGCAAGGAGAACGAACCTGAGCGAAGCTGGTGGACTATCGTAGACTGGTAGACGTTTTCATCTTTTTTCTCATTTTTGAAAACGAGAGCCGAGAGTGGAGCTCGTCGAATTCTCCAGGGGCCGTTCTGGAGCTTGTCGAGAGTGGAGCTGGTCGAAACCTTTTGTCGCTCAACAGGATCACCTGAAAGCCTTGGGGCCGTTCTTCGACACTTCTCCGCCGCAGACTCGACACGCGCGACGTCACCCTGCGAGCGATCGGCGCAGAGACGGCGCGAATGAAGCTACCTGCAGGCACATAAGCAGCATGGGAGAAAACATGTTAGTGTGTCAAAACAATCATGCTAGTGACTTTAACACTTCATGTTTTGCATCCAGCTGGGGAAAAGTCTAAAGAAGCATATTTTTGCAATGCAGTTTCCCGTCTCCACTGCTTTTGCCGCTCAGGTTTGTTTACATCACTGAGCGCTTTAAGGACCTGTCAGACTCGTCATGACTCTGCCATACTCGCAGTCCTGCATCACCTGTCATGACCGGAGTGTATTCAGTAGCTTTGGCCGTCCTTCGTGCGGCGAGCTCAAAGAATCAAGAAACTGAACCAAGTTCATGAGCTTCATTGGTGTTTTTCTTCTGGCCCAGGAGGGCTACGATGGTGACTTGCAGAGACGGTTGATTGAGCCAGGGCCCTTGAAAGCAGTCGAGCTCGTTCGACGTGCAAGCACAAGATGGGTTTTGCATGGTAAGGTTTTGTGACAAAAGGGTACAGAATCACCGAAATACACTGTATCTTGGGGGTTGATTCGGGTTGATGTCCTTTGGCTTCCTGAGTTTGTGATCGTACCAAAATGAGGAGACCCCCAGCCAATCTGCTGGCAGAACGAACATGGACGAAGCTGGACCGGTCCGATTCGCTCCTACGCCACATCACGGGCAATGTCACTTGGGCCTGTTTGAAGTTTGGTGGCCAAAAACTCAGTTCAGTCGACCTCCCACTCGGGTTTTGCAGCCTTGCACAGCAGAGGCCCGAGGACGAAGAGGAAGCCTTACGGCGGAAGGCGTGGCGTGGCGCGGGACGTAGGGAGCGCGTCGGAGTGGAGGGAGTCCGCGGGGACCCCGTGAAAAGGCGCAGAGGTAGAAGGGTGAGGGGTTATGCCATGTGACGACACCTTATCTTGGGGTGTGAGTTTCTATTCAGAAATGTGAAGCGGTAAGATGGTGGCAAACTGCCTGGGCTTGCACATGCGCTCCACTGTCCATTTAAGTGCACGGTCAATGAAAGTTCATTAGCAGTGTTTGTCCAATTGGGGCAAGGAACGACATCTGGATGGGCTCGTGGGCCAACTGCAACTCGCTCAGCAAATCATGGAATGCCTAGAAAATAGCGGAAAGATGTGGGTGATGTTTTATGGTATTGCTAAGGACTGGAAGTGTAAACTCCTTCTTATGTACTAAAAAAAATGACACTGAGGCTCTCCCATTCCTATTCCAACATGCTTGACCAGTGGCTGCTATGCGGTGGGGCAACCTCAAGGGGAAAATGACGGTTGTGATGCTTTGACGTCTTCCCCCGAAAAGATCCAAAACATCGCAGAACAGCCTCCACCTGCTCCACCTGCCAGCAATGCCTTGACGCCTTGGCGGCCTCAGTCGAATGGACAGGAGTTGGCCAAGCAGTATGGCAAGTACGGCAACGAGGTGGGAGAGCTGGTGAGCCGCACCAAGGCCAGGGTCGGCCGTGACTGAAGACAGGAATTGGAAGCTGGCTCCATTTGAAAGCTGGCACAAACAGATCAATGTGTGCGTACCATATCCTCCATGCAACTCTTCAAAGATAAAATGATCAGAATGGAGAGCTGGGAAGTCTCAGAGCTGGTTGTTTGCCCCTCGCACCACTGCGCCCAAAAGGTTGGCAATCATTTGGCTTACGAAGTCCGGTGGGCCTGGACGCCAAGTGTTTAGCCTTGAAACCCAGAGCAAAGTTATCTTTTAAGCCACCCATTGTGGCCCTGCCTCCTTAATAGATTGAGGGAGTGAGCTACTACTAGTAGCTCCTGGACGCAGCATAGCTCGCGCTTCTTCAAGGAAGCTCCCCCGCCTGAGGGCAGGGGGGAGCTTCCTTGAAGAAGCGATTGCACATGATTGCACTAGATGGGTTCCTAGATGTTTAGGGACATGGTAAGTTGGTTGCTCTTTGCCGAGGATGGTTTGGACGACCCCAAGCAGAACACCGTTGAGCCAATCTCAAAGCTCAAGGCCTGGCTGGCGAGAGAAGTTCATCCAAGACGAGTTGTGCAGTATATTGAAGCACGTGGCAATGGCTCGATCAATAACAACAAGAGAACACAAAAGCGTCCGCAGGAACATTTACTTTCTATTTGTGTTTCCTTTGACCAATAGCCAAGACTCAAACTTGGGTGTGTCCCGGTGTAGTGTACCGTACTCATTTCAGACCGCGGCACCGCGGCACCCGCACCCGGCACTGAAGGCCATGGGCCTGGACAAGGTCATCATCGCCTGCGACGAGCGGATCGCCGCCAAGGCCGTGGGCTTAGTGTGTTCGGTCGTGTTCGGTCGTGGTCGGTCGTGGTCGGTCGTGGTCGGTCGGTCAGTGCGAGGGACTTTGAAAGAACTTCCGCCTGGAGGGTTTGAAAGATGTTTCCTTCACTTCGCCAGTGTTGTCCAAGAGAAGGGGAGCAACCCCATGAAAAAAACCCACCGACCCAGTGGGGTCTGCAAAGTGTCAGGTCTGCTCAATCTTTTGTGCATTTGACCAGACGTTTGTTTGGACTCTGATATTAGCCGATATTATGGTTGTGTGCGAAGCAGAAAGGTCATGAAATATCAATCCTCGGAAGTTCTTTCGCAATGCTTTTTGTTCTCCCTGCTAGTAAGTTCTTTGAGTTAACCCCTGTATTTCTTGATGGACAAACCCACTATATATTAATTTTATACATATAGTTATATATATATATGATTGTATATGATTGTATAATATGTGATGTCCAATCGAAAGTGACATCCCTGGCCAAAGGGTTCTAGGGATCAACGACTTGGCAACCGCCCAACTGCACGTCCAGCCTGTCGTCGGGGCTTGCCCACGTATCGAGTGTCCAACACGAAGCAGACATGTCAGGCAGCTGGCTTGGATCAGCGACCTTTGACGCGCAGGGAGATTGTGAGGCACCGGGCGGGAAGATCCAGCATATCCTAATATATCCTCGGAGTCAGAACATCTCAAGATGAACGTCGTTGAGAGATCAATTCGAGGGCCATGGGCGCTGTTCCAAAGTCTTCTGACGCTATTCATCCAAAAAATATCCAAAAGCAGGGGCACATGCCTCAAGGTCCAAAAATGTGATGAGAGATGCCCATTTGAAACATGTTCAACCAAAGGTTTACTCTTTGCTATAAATCAACCACAAGCAACTAGTAAATGTCCTGGATGTCCTGTGGATCAAGATGAGATCAATAGCTGTCCACAACTAAAACTCTGGTGAGCTTTGATGGTGAGCTTGCGACATAAACGAGGTTGAGGTAGACCAATACAGAACAAAGGCGTTCCTTTTCCCTTTTTCGCTCTAATTGGAAACCAACCCCTGTGTAAGGAAGCTGTTATTCTACGCTGTGATGTTCTTTTTTGTACACAGACTCAGACTGTATTTTGCCGGTTGCTTTTGCATTACAGTACCTCTTGCAATGTTACCGCTGTTTGGGTTGGAACAGCCGTGCTGGTCGTCCGAAGTGTGCGTGGGCGCACAGCTGAAGAGGCATTGCGAAGCCTTTGGCATTGATGAGGTGGGCCGGACAAGAAGGGGCCAAAACCAATTGCATGAAACATTTAAAAAATATAGGAACAAGAAGCTACTAGGGGCTCCTGGCATCGCTACTAGGAGCAAGGACGCTACTAGGGGCTCCTGGCCTTACTACTAGGAACAAGAAGCCGTTCTATATAAATATAGTCTTTCCTAAGAGCAAGGGATGGGCCCACCAAAGCGACATGGGCCCACCAAAGCGACTTTCATCCACCCCCAACCCAAGTCAGCTCAGTGTCGAACTGACCCACTAACTAGACAATATTTGTCTCGCACCTTCCGTGCCGGGCAGGGTTGGGTTCCCTCACAAAGCCGATGTGAAAGCGCCTCATCCATAGAGATGAAAAACTGGGCCCAAGGTTTTTCATGATTTTTCTCTTCTGTTTGAGTTTGAGGATGACAGGATCAGGACATACCAAGAACTGTGCCATTGAGATTCCCGAGAGATTTCCCATTCTTTTACGTGGCAGGGCGTTTATTGCAACAATGTCCCCGAAAAAAATAAGTGCTTGATAAGAAGTGCCACCTGAAGAACAAATTCCGAAGGGGCACATACAACTCTGACTCTGCCTGACTGTCGCGTGAGCTACCTGAAGAAACTTTGCGCAAGTCAAGGGATAAAGATGGAGATCCTGGCCCCACAAGAGAAATGACCACAACTTTCGTGCGGAATCGTATGGGTTTTGGAGTGGGTTTTGGTTTTGAGGTGGTGTGCTCAGATCATTTTGAGGCTTTGGCAGTAATTGTGGTAATCGCATGCAATCGCCAAGCCGCCCTGCCGCATCGAGGAGATGTGCTGCAACCGGCAGATCCGCGGCTTTTCAGCCGGCCAAAAGGCAGGGTTCTTGCTGTGTTTGTGAGGGACACCTCTAACACTGGAAGCCGGAGTGTAACACTTGTAACAGCAATGCATTGCTGGGTGTGCCAAGCTCTCATCACATTCGCAGGCGTCATTCGGAGAATGTGTCAGTTTGCGATGTGTTCCAGGCTTTAGATACATGGTTTTACATGGTTTTACGCTCGTGGCCTTTCTATGACGCACCTGAAAGAAGAAGCTGCAGTACCGGCTTCGCCACTGCCATGTTGTCGGTTTCTGGCTTCTAGACAATTGCATCACATCACTTATAGCCTATTCTCAAGTAAGACGACGTACGGGGCTGACCCTGTCCTTAAGTTCGGCAACACCCAGGCGCTGAGATGTCTTAGCTTGGGCTTGAGATGTCCTGGAGTTGTGGAGCCGTTTTATGGGACGGAGAAAGGAGGCCAAGTTGGGTGGTCAAGCAGAACAGACCTGAATTGAAGAATTGAAGTCAATTTCTGGAAGAACATTTCTGGAAGAACCAAGGCTCTTAGTGTATGTCCAGAACCCCGTTCCCAACTTCTTCAGTTCGGCCCAGTTCCATGTTCGCTTGGCAGGTGCGACTCTCCTTAGCAGCGATGTTTTGGACCAAGCCGTCGCGTGGCAGATCAGCGAACGGGGGAACAGAGGGAAACGGCACAGCCACGAACGGAGCAGTCAGGGCATCGCTACGAACGGAGCAAGAACGCTACGAACGTAGCTCCTGGCCTTACTACTAGGAACAAGAAGCTACTGGAAGCAAAGGGCATCGCGGAAGAAGAATGTTCAAGTGGGGTTTGTTGTAGGCCGTCTCCATGCTCAGGCAACCACTTATGGATGATAAGAAGAGTTTGTCATGGGATTCGCACTGTCATTTGCTCCTATGGTCCTACAACAAAAGAATTGCACCTAGATGTATATTGCCCTGCCATAGCACAGAGAAGGACTCAATCACTCACTCCCTGCCCAATTTCGCTTTACTGCTAAAGCGAAAGAAGACAGACAAGAAAATTCCAATCGAAGTTCCCCTACCCTACAGCACTGGTTTCCGCGCTTGAGAATGTACCGATGTGTAAAGAAAGGATATTGTCATAAAGCATGTACTGTAATTATTATCTAATTCCCACTGGACGAGGCACTTCATCGCATTGGACGAGCCCACCAACTACTTGGACGTGGAGACGGTTGATGCCCTTGGGAAGGTGCCGACGCTGGACGTGGTCACCAGATGTCACCAGTGTATGCACGGCCTGAGCCAATGTTTCCTGGTGGGACTGAGTGTCAGTTAGGGTCCTCCTTTGGTGAGCACTCTGCCTGGTGTCAGCACCGGAAAAAGATCCTTTGGTCCTTTGTGGGTGGGTTTCGCTGGGGGTTTGACTTGGTCTAAGTCTAAAGTTGAAGGAACCTCCTCCAAGAAGATTAACGTTGGTGGCATGATAATCCTTCCTAATTAAGCTGACTCAGGAAGGCATGCTTGAACAATCTGCGTTTCCGGTCGTCATTTATCCAATCAAGCCCATGTGTTCGAGTTGTCGCAAGCAGAAGCTCGCTTCAATTGTTTGCTTCAGTTGTCAGGCGCTCACCAACTTCCGTGGGGGGATCATCATGATCGAGCCCAAAACAGACTTTGTGGAGCGGATCTGCAACGAGAAGTGGCTGATCGAGGCGCCGCTTTCAGCGTCGACGTTCTTCCGCGTCGATGCGGATTCACAGATCGATGCCCTGCTGTGCGGGACCATGTTGGACCGGTGAACCCGAAAAGAAAGCGACTAGTAGCTCCTGGCATCGCTACTAGTAACAAGGGCATCGCTACTAGGAGCAAGAAGCTACTAGTAGCAAGAAGCTAGTAGGTTGGAGGCCATCGCTAGTAGGGCTCAGCAGCTGAGTGCCTACACCAAGAGTTCTTCCTGAGTTCACGACCAGGACTCAGGGCGCTGTGGGAATCCGCACCGAGTGAGTCTCGGGCATAGTGGGAAAGCTTGGACTGCCTTTTCGGCATCAGTTTCATCGTAGTAGGCGACACATGGCGACACCATGCGAAACCTGCGTGCGAGTCACGTCCAGGGCAACGGGGGGCATCTACAGGTTGCTAGACTGGGGGGGGCACAGCGGCACAACTGTGACAACCCAACTGGGATCCTTTTGATCCACATATTCACCTCCCGTGGATGACCAAATGCCTTCGTGCGGCCGGTCAGGATGGCAAGATGAAGGTTGAGAAGCTGAACAATGGAGTGAAGCGTCAGGCATAGGCATTTGGAGCTTTCTAGTCCGTCCTTCTCGAGTCACGCTGTTCGCAGAGCATTGCCTGTTTGATTGTCCTGTAGACATGCGAGCTCTCACAAGTTCTGGAAGCCAAACCAGTGACCAGTGAATTGGAATCCACAGTTTACGTGAACATGGACTTTGTTGGCTGATGGACTTGACTCAGCAAGATCACCTTTTTTCTACAAGTGACATCAAGTTGCTGCAGCTGGAGATTCTTGAAAGCTTGAGGGGAATTGAGGGGAAAACAAGGCGATGCCAATTGAAACTGTGAAACTTACAATATAACTTATCAGACTTATTGTAATGACTTATATCATCTTATATCCACTTTTGTCACTGCTTGTGGGGAGTCCAAAAGAACAATCCTGCTTCAGCCCAAAGAATACACAGCTGCCAATACTCGCATGAGAAGAAAGCTCGAGGAGGGTGTGAAAGACTGAAAGCTCGGATCGAAAGTGCGCCATGAAAACATATTGACTGCTTTGTATGGCTCGTGATGGCTTGCCAGCATCTTCATCAGACCTGATCAAAGTGTACTTTTGTCCGCTTGCTGACAGAGCTTGCCATGCTTGGATCACTAGGTCTTCAAAGACTGCTTCCTATCTTTTGAAGTAAAGCAAAGATGAACAAAGCCTCAGGGCTGAGTTCTACCTCAATTAAAAGGGATGATTGGAAAGTAGGAGTGGTTCTACAGGGTGACGAACGGCTAAATTCTTTCCGGCTTGAAGGCAGATAGGTTTCAGATGCTGTCAGTATAGAACCGACAACTCCGAACCTTTCGGATCTCTTTAGACCTCACTCACATTGTTAAGTCATGTTCCATCAGTTCGAATTCACCAGTGTCGATGGAGGTTTGTTGGATCTCTCAGACCGATTGGCTCACAGACATGGTTTCGTGTTTTTCTTTGAGTGGACTGGCCGCCACCCTAGGGCTGAACAGGTTCGCAATAGTGAGGTTCCTTAAAAGCTGATTGTCTTTACTTGTTCCGGAGTCCAAAAGAAACAAATTGACCGGATACAAAGGCGTCAATGTGTTTGAGGCGTTCGCATGGACGGCGAGAACTCCGTGTTCGGCCCAACTCGGTTTCAACTCGCAGAGCATCGAGCTCGTGAAAAGCAGTGCGACGAACGCGCGGGTGTTTGGTCACCGGATGAATCATGAACCAAAAAGAAGGAACTGTAATAGCAACGAGAGGGGCTTTGGGATCTTTGGGAGCGATTTCGATTTCAATAGTATATCGCTTGGATCTTTTATTTCACAAACAGAATTTGGCGTTTCTGGGGACGACAAACCTTTAAAGTCCTCACCAATTCCATTGGACTCAAATAACATCAAACAACCTCAAACATAAAAGCATTGCTGTAGTCGCAATTGAACATTTGTACACGGTTCTATTATGTTCTATTTGTTTTGCAGCACTCTTCCTTCTAAAGAAAGAGCCGAGTCGTGAAGACACTCTTCGAAGCCAACCTTATCCTGTTTGCCCGTTCTCGCTGGCGGAGGCCTTGGCAGTGCAAGGTAGCGGAAACGGAAAGCACTCCTTCATTGGCTGCAACTGAGTGGTGGGGACACAACCCCAACCCCTTGGATCTTTGATCTTTGGATGACGCAACTGTCTGCGCTCCCGAGTCCAGACTCCAAGACTGCCCAAGTAGAGGGGGTCTTCACTTGTAACATGCTGTAGCCGTGAGGCCGCGCCCATGGAACACGACTCGCCCTGGACGAACCGGTCTGGCGAACTTGGGAGATGGCGCTGCGGTCGTCCCAGTTAGGTACCCCAGGAACGACAAGGTTCTCAAGCTTTGGTCATGCCCTGAACCTGTCCGAAACGGCAAGAACAGAAGCTAAGATGCAAAAGCTCATTGACCAGTAAATGATCAAAGCTTTGGAACAGTAGGTCGTTCTCAAACCATGGAGCAGTGGGGGTTTTCCAATAGTTTGCCGTTGCAGAGGTCATCTTCCATGTCGATACCTCGCACGGCCCACTCTCCACATCCGGTTTAAACCGATTTAAGCTGCTCTAGCAAGTCTGGCTTTTGCTCCCTCAGGCGTGGCAGTGTCTTTTGCTGTCCCCCCCAGGGACTATTGACCGGGGAATCTCACTGGTCCTCTACTTGTGAGCACACAAGGATAGCATGATGGGTGAAGAGTGAAGACATCAATGTGAAGGGAATCAAGACACCGGACAGGAAAAGAACTGGAGCACAAAAGAGCAGAAGACCGACAGACCTCCAAAACAGCCACATTTGAGGGTGACATTAGGGCACTAGAATAAGAGGGCATAAAGGACATTACAGTATAATCCACATAAATTGTAGTACCACATCTGCAGTGACGGAGAGGCAGAGACGGAGAGAGGGAGAGAGGGGGAGCGGGGGAGGGAGGGAGGGAGAGAGAGAGAGAGGGACAGAGAGAGAGAGAGGGTTATGGGGAGAGAGAGAGAGAGACAGAGAGATAGGGAGATAGGGAGGAGAGGAGGGAGTGCGGAATGAGTCAACTAATCTGTGCTTTGGGTCACGAGTCGTCAGCACCAAGTGAAGTAACATTTTCCCAACCCGAAGATTGAAGCTTGAGAAGCAGCACAACTGCCTTTGTTGTTCCCCAAGTTTGTTCCACATCAGGGCTAGCACCTGATGCTGGCAAAAACAATTCAGCCGCACCATGTTTGGCAAGAACCGCTGCATGACTGCAACCACTGCAATTGGGGGTATTGGTTGCTGAACTTGAGGCTAACCCAGGGTAACAGTTGCGGTGAACATGCTTTCCAGCATGCGAGCCGCTGCAAGTGTGAACACAGTCCTGGTCAAATCGCAGTTGTTTGGGGATGATTCTTTTGCGCTGCTTGCGTCAGCTTGCGCCAGCTTGCGCCCCTTGCGCATGAGGGATGTGCCATATCTTGCAATGATCTTGCTTGAGCTGGGAGTGAGCTCCACCTGGTCGCCGATGCTTCGCTTCAAGGGTGCAAGTCCTGTTCGGCGAACATGTTTCAAGGGGCTTCAATCCAACATGGTTACAGTTTGTTATTATTGGGTTCATGTCTCAACACATGTAAGGGAGAACGAGCTTTAGAAAGACTACATAGATCTACATAGTACAGTAAGCCTGGGCTGCTCGGCGCACGGTGGCTGCTCGGAAATCAGATGCGATGTCGTCCTGACTCTCGGAGCACTTTGAAAGATCCAGCGGAATCCGAAAGGATATGTGAGACAAAAACGCCAATTGAAAAGCAATTTGCAAATTGAAAAAACACAAAATGGGAATTTGCAAAAGGGCAAAACATGGCAAAACAAACAATATCCACCATGACCAAGCACTGGGGATAGCGAGTTGGTACACACCCAACATCTCACTTAAGAAATCTGAAGAATAGTTAAGATGGAAACAACAATTCTCAGTTAGAAAGCCTTTTCGGGTAGCTTGAGCACAAGCGGTGTAGTGTGATGGTATATTTCAGAAATATGTACTAGCCTGTGGAGTGGGAGATGAAAATGCATGGCGCATGTCTGGCTCCACTGTCTATTTCCCTGCTGCTTCCGGTGCCCGCACGAAACACTCCATGATGTTCAACTTTTTGACTGGACGAGACCGGGTTCGACCGGAACCGGCCATCACGTTGCAGAAGAAATGATCTTAACATGTGGTGAATTGTGAAGGCTTGCCATGTGGCAGAGGCCGTGTCCGGATTGGAGAATTTGCAGAGACTCGTGGACTTGTGGGATCGGGCCCCGCGACAAAAAGAGTGCACACGACCGTTCGATGCGCTTGGATCTCGCGTTGACATTTGCTTTCAGTGTCACACGTCTTGTCGCGGAGGGAGTCGAAGCAGGTGTGATCATTCTGTAAAGGTCGGCCATTGAATGGGTATTGGGTATTGTATGGTAATGTTGTTTATGTTAGCTGTTTGCAAGACGACCAGAAATTGCAGGAGGCAGGAGGCTGAAGATTTCGCACAAAGCATGGAACTTTGTATGCGTGGTGCCATAGTGGGTTTAGTGCCACAGGAATTTCCGGCACAGCCGTCCACAAGAGCGGCCTGTAAAGGACAGCACACCACGCGCGCGCGGGTGAAGGCACACGGGATCGCATTGTTCATGTCGTGGGGTTTGATACGTGGGACCGGTGTGATCGAATCAGCATCACTGCCTGCAAATCGCATCAAATAAATATACATATTTACATATATAATTATATAATAGATTTTCATAATAGCAATAATAACTAGTCATGAAATTCAACATTATGGTTTATAGAATGATGTGTATGAACCAATGTTAATGTTTAAATATATAGTGGCCATGTTTACCCCTGCGAATTGAACCATATTTCAGCGGGCGAGCAATGTTTTCAAGCATCCATTTGGATGAGTGGAAGTAGTTGACCCAGCTTCGACGTGTTGGAGTTGGTCGACCCATGTCGACCCCAAACTACGCAAATGCATGGAAGTTGGGCCATCTCAATTCATGGCCATACCATTTGCTCCCCTGTCCTTCACCAAGCTTTACTTCAAAGGGTGCAGAGTTTCCTGGTCGGCCAAAAGGTAGGGACTTCACCAGGGCTTCATTCAGGACTATGACTACGATTGAATTGGTTGTCTTGATGAAAATCCAGGAAGTGCAACCCGGAACCTAGCAGACTACTTTGTACTACTTGAGTTTGAGTCGATAAAGCTCCGTTGGTTCAAGCTTGTCATGGTTTGGGCCCTGTTCTGGTTGGACAGAAGACGATGCAGACTTGCTAGTAGCACGTCCTGACTACTGACTGCCACGAAGTTTCGCAATGTTTGGAAACTTGCAAGATGTTACTATATAAGGGTGCGGTCAACACCCTGCCATTTGGAAATGGACAAGGATGTTGGGAAGGCAGTAAATGTTGACCTTCCCTCATGTTCAGGATGGTGCACAGTTTCGACAACACTTCGAAAGGGGTGTCGAAGAAAGAGCTCCAGGCGAGCAATTGCAGGTGCAGAGTTGGAGTGCGAAGGAACATCCAAGACTCTTCTGGACTGAAGAACATATACAACCTATTCACCTATTCATTCACGTAGTGTGAGAACCAAATGCTCAAGACTACCAGGTCAATTTTCCTCCAAAACTTTAAAACACACGCACACACCCAACAAGCTTGCAGAGTTGCTGGGATATTCAAAACAAGGCGCAGAGTTCATCTTTTTGGAAACAGAATGGTGAATGGTTGGCTGGTGGGATCTTATAGCTATATCAGCACGTTGGAGTGTTTGTTTGACTGAAAGCCTCATTTGGTATGGCTCAAGGATCAGAACAAGCACAACTTGCCGACCAGGTTTCCTCAGAATTATATAAACCTGACAAACGTTAGAACAGACCTTCAAAGTGACCGATTTGTTTGGATTTCAGCAGAATCGTCACTTTGTCCTCCACGGACATTTGGCTTGCTTTTTCAGCGAGGCCAGCATGGGCGACTTGCGACATCAGCAGCGCAAGATCTATACGTCGGCGTCTTCGAGAAAAGAATGGGGAGACGTTGGTTGCTACTGAAGGTGCTTGAGGTGCTCCGAGGTGCCTGAAGCAACAATCCAGCTCCAAGCTTGATTGTGAGGGGCTGTACACAATACAAACTGCATGGACATAGTTCCTGCAGTGTGGTTGATGAGCTGTCCTCGTAGGATGACAAAGGTTTATCCAACAAGTCATAGCACATGATAGAACTAAGATCCTCCTTTGCTCAGGTCCAAAGACCCACGCTTTGCGTACGGGCGCCTAGGGTACGACAGAAACCACGAAGACCTGCTGAGCAAAGCTGCTTCAGGTCATCAACTGGACATGTGCTGCAGAGGTGTGCAAGGATTTTGCAAGGATTTTGCAATTTACTCACGACAAGTTGATCGACTTTGAAGGCTGTTGCAAGCAGTTCGGGCATTTTCTCACTCACAGGAGACATGGTTTGTATTTTTATAATCTGACAAATCCAACTCAGGTGTATGTGCTCGGGTTATGTTTGAGTTCAGATTGTCTTCGAAACAAGCACGCAAAGACACTGCTTGTGAGTTTGAAGAGTGGCAATTGAGAGGCAGATAGGAAGCAAAACACCTCGATGGCAATATGCACCACTCATCAACCATTCCCTTCTAGATCCGCAAAGCGTGCCTCCGCAGGTCGGAGTTTTGACAAGCCAAGGTTGCATGGAAACGTGTTGCCAACGTGTTCGTTGTTAACAAGAAGCTACTAGGAACAAGTGCATCGCTGCTAGTAACAGGTGCCTTACTAGTAGTAACAAGAAGCTATTAGTTGTTTCTGCTTGCCAAATGTTCGCGAACTCCAAGCGTCTGTCCAAGTGGACCAGGTCAGCGCCGTCCTTCTCGTTTGGAAGCCGCTCGATCAATGAGCCTCTTGGCTTCACCCAAGCACGGCCCGGCTTGTTGCGGCTGTGTGCAGATTTCGCGTTTGAAGTGCAACAGTCTGTGGAGATTCAAGAAACAAGTAAATAATCAGTTATAATATGTTTACACCCTTAGCCACGGATGCATGTTACATAGATTCGTGTCCAATACTAACTAACCAAAAGTACATGAAACCTCCGGAAATGTCGCTCTCAGGCTCAACACGCTGGCATGTAACCGAAGCTTCTTCTGTTGGGGGCCTCAGGTTACAAAGATGTTTGTGTAGTGGTGGATTTCCAGAATATATCAAGAAGGTACTAGTAGCAAGGACGCTATTAGGTGGAGGCCATAGCTATTAGGTTGGAGGCCATCGCTATTAGGCTGGAGGCCATCGCTCCTAGTAACAAGAAGCTACTATATAGTAGCTAGAAGCTACTAGGTGGAGGCCATCGCTATTAGGTGGAGGCCGCAGGCCATTGCGATTAGGTTGGACGCCATCGCTACTAGTAACAAGAACTCCGACTTGTGATGGACTCGTGGACGAAAGAATAGAGCTTGTTCAGTGGCACCTGCGCTCCGAACAGCGGTTCTTGTGGGCCAATTCTGATCGATGCCACAAAGGATCAGGCTTTATTCTTTTCAAAGGCTAAGACTTGCAAATGATGGTTCCTATCATCAACCTGTCACTTGTCAAAGTGTGGTTTTCATCTTGGGTACACGACTTCCCCGGTTCACCGTCAGTCCACAGGTAAAAATGGGACGCATCGATGTACTGACGGCGAGATCCTCTTAGACCCACTGAGAAGGCTTGGGGTCATTTTTTGGCGACGGCGGTTGCCCACGCTATCTTGCGGCCATCAAGCGAATCCTGGTGCTGCGAATCACCAGTGCTGAAAAAAGAAACAACCTAAATAGCGAGGTCCAGTCAATGTAGAGGTTCATTGACGACGGCGGTTCATGGCACCGTAGCTTTCACGGACGTTGTAATGGAAGCCCTTGAGAAGGAATCCCGATGAATCCGACCGAAGTTGTATGACTGACATCCAAAGCTGCCACAACGCAGCGTTGCAGACTAGAGCTTTGTGCTTCGTCGAGCAGTTGATAGGTATGGCATCAATCGTTGAAAGATGCTGTATAACAAAGGATGATGTAGATGGATGGCAGCCGGACTGACCATAGGTGAACATGTTTGTTCAGACGAGCTTTGATTGAGAAGCAGAAAAAAACAAGAAGAGCTACGGAAACCAAGTTTGATAATGTTTGCTGCACGACAACCTATCCCCAAACTCTTGATGGATGATTTGCATTTGCTGTAGAATCCTGCAATTGGGATCCAATCTGCATGTCACCACAGTGCCACCAGTGCCGAGTCAGGCGCGATGACAAGAGTCAGGCGAAGCTTCGTGATCATGGGCGGCAATGGAAAGCCGTGCCAGGCCAAGAATCGCGCCATGTAGAGGGGGCCACATCTGTGTGGGGGGCCCACCGTCCGAGCCATGGGAAGTGTGAATTAGATGAGTTAGCAGTTCTTTGTGAATTCATCGATTTGTTGGAGATACAGCTATCTCCAGAATATACCGACCTCCCGAGCAATAGCTATTCAATAGGTGAATTCGTCCAGCTTCACAACATTTCACAAGGAAAAATAGGAATAGTGTGGATTCGGGCTTCCGCAACACTTGCTGTTTGTTGATGAAACAAGTTGTTTGCGGGTCTGCTGGTAAGTCCGAGATGTCTCCACCAACTGGGCAGTTTCATGCGTCTACTCCCATATCAAAGTCCCCCTCAGCAATCTGTGATTGTTGGTCAATCCTTGTTTGCGGGTCCCTTTTTGCTCTCATTCAGATCTTTGGACACGCGTTTTTCTTTTTGTGGCTGGTAGCTGGTAGCTCGAAGAACCGCGTACGCATGAACTTGGGACGTCTTTTGTTGCGAAAGAAATGTGTATCGTTGATGTTGAAACATGTTACAAACTCTGCTGGCCACTTGGTACTCCAATCACGTTTGTACTTACTAGGCGCACACTCAGGATAGACTCATCCAATTTTGAACCATGCAATACAACCCTACAAAAAGATACAAAAAGTCTTCAGTAAATGGATCACTGAGAGCAGCTACACTAGGCTTAAGGGGCTGGTGAAGCTTGATCTCTGAGGCCACACTGGTCCAAGGTATCTAAACAGTGTTTAAACATGTGTAAACTACTGTAATCAGATGAACTTCTAAATGCAGTTCCTTTTGTTGTCCTTTTTCACTTGTGTTCACCATCTTCTTCTGCTGAAACCCATGCGCTGCCAGGGCCTGGGAGTTATCGTGTTCCCAGGCGCTACCACCCCAGGGCTGTACGGGCGCGTGCGGGCTGTGGAGACGCTGCGACGACCTCCGAAAGTGTGCCAAACACATGCGAGCATTGCATTACAAGACCAGATGTTTGTTCAGTTGCTTGCAACGTGTGTTTTTTGCAGGCTTTGATCAAGGAGATGTGACATGGAGTCGTACCATATAAGTTCATCATGGAAAATGACTGACTATATATATATATATATAGAGAGAGAGAATTCGGGTCCCGCATCTGTTTGCGGCTAGTAGCAAGGGCGCTCTGAGGTGGAGGCCATCGCAAGTAGGTTGGAGGCCATCGCTACTAGTAACAAGAAGCTACTAGTAGCAAGGGATTCCGCGACGACCTCGTCATTTTTGCTGTCCATCGCGTGCGAGTCACGTCTCGGACGAGTGCGATGGACGAGTCTCAAATAGGTAACTTGTTTTTCCCCACCTGCCAGGTGAGGGTTGCTAGATTTTATGTTAGCTGACTTCTCCTTCTCCTTCTTCTTCTCCTCCTCGCCGGACCTCAACCACGACCATCCACGCCCAGTGTTCCCTGCCGGACC